CTTATTGACTCCTCTTGTGAAGTCCCCCATGGGTGGTCACAAGCCCCCAAATGTCATTTGTGATGGCTAAGACCAACATGTGTTGACTCAAGAGTGGGTTCCTATATTTTCAATGCACCTTCGGACAACCCTGGATGACTCAGGTTTGATCTCTCACACGCCTACACGCACTCAAACCCATCAAACCCTCCACATGCCCTAAACTCTAAAATCACTTACACTAGACTCACCTCCTTAACTCTTTGAGGAACTCATATGGATGGTCCTAAGCCCTTAGCCTTTGGCTAAGATGGTTAGGACTAACATGTGGAAACTCAAAAATGAGTTCTCATTTAGTGTCCTATGGTTTCAAGATTGCTAATTATGACATGCATGATCACCTTACCCAGTTTTCCCAAAATACTCCCAATGTCAAAAAATACCCAAAATTCCTCAAATTTCTAACTTCTCACCAAAAATCATTTCAACCCATTTCAAATTGACCAAAATCTTCGAATTCTAAAAATGCACCTAATGCTCAATACACCTATTTTTCCACCCTAAATCATTCCTAAACTCCATCAAAATGTCACAATTGTCCTAGAATATCCAAGCTCCCCAAAATTGATCAAATTGACCCAAATTTCCCAAAATTAGCAAAGTAGCCCAAAATCCCCAATTTACCAACAAGTTTCACCAAAGTCATCCCAAACTCAATTTTACCATACCCAAACCCAATTCTACCAAATTCAAGCCCAAAATGAATTTTCTTTTAATTTTCTTTTCATGGCAATCCGAATTTTCTTTTCATGGCAATCCACCATATTCCATTAAGTCCACCATAATTAAAATTGAAAGCCCATATTTCTAAAGCCTTCCATAAACAATTTTAAAAGCCCACAACCCAAGCCCATACTTTGAAATCCAAAGGCCCACATCACAAATTCATTTTTCACTTTTGTATTCATCACCCATTTAATCAAATTAAGCCATGCCCATGTCATACATGCTTAAGCCCCATCCAAATTTAGTATTTTGACTTCACCCCACCAAAAATTCAAAATTACCAAATTCCTTTCTCATGAAAACTAACCATGACCCATGCATGTCATGAAAGCATCCATGGAACCATTAATGGGCATTCATATCGCCCATGGACACCAAGTATAGTAAAAGGACTTCATTTCACCTGCCACTAAATCATTCAACCTCTCTAATGAAACCACCAAACACAAAATTCTCATGCAATCCTAGCCACCCAAACTTCCCATGGGTCTAACCACTCACCCCCATCACCTTGGGAAGGGTCTAAGCCCATTCCCAATTGGCTAAACCCAAGCCTAACCCAAACTAAACCAAACTTACACCCTTCCTTTGGATAATTGAAGTTGCACATGCTTGAACCCAATTGACCTCACATCTGACCTCCCACAGTGTGAAGGTGACCTTGACTTGGTCGGTCAGCCAGCCACCCTAACCGCAGAAAAACATCAAGCCCGAGAGGTCACCCATGTCCAAAACCTAAAATTTGAACGCTCTAACTTGCTCACTCCTATTAAACATTGGAGTCTCTCTTCCCTCCACCTAAGTTTCACTTTGGCCACCCTGGCTTGCCGTGTTGGCAGTCATGGCCCTGCCTATAGGTAAAACCCCCCTCACGGTTAAATGAATAGAGAGTTTTAGCCTAGGGAACACTCTGCCAAATTGCTCCCAAACCTTCCAACATCCTAGTGAAGTGCAATTCCACTATCTTCAGTCACTCCCCACCACTGAGAAACCCTAATTTCCAACTCAAACCCCCGGGCATTTCACGACCATACCACAAACCATTTTAAAACTCCCACTTGCACCCTTCAAAACCTTACCCAGAACAAGAGAAGTTCCCCCTAAAAATCCCCCACTTGAGCACTCTAACCCACCTCTAGACCAAACCCGAATCACCTCTTGGTCTAAATCACACATAGACATAATCTCTGATCAAATTAACACTTGGATGAGGTTCGTTGACTCAAGACGAAGCTTAAGAACAAACCCAATTGAGGTCTCACCGCTTGGGCAAAGTTATGGATCAAAATCCCTAATTATGAAGAAAATTTATATTTCATGTTTATCTAGCTGTATAGATGTGTTCATCTCATTTAAATGAAGATGTTGGAACAAACCATACTTAATTTGGTTGAGTATCGAGCGAGATTTTAGGGTCAGAACACGAACGATTCTCGGGTGAGGTCGATCAGGGTCAATGAACAGATGTCGTCCATTTCTGCGTGTATGGATCGAACAGCAAATGGCGATTCGTACAGAGGAATGGTACATGAACCGCAGGCCGAGTCAGCGACTTGCATGAAAAGGCCGAATCGAACCGCTCCGTGTAAAGGTTCAAAGCTGTCGAGGAATAACGTGATTGTCGCGTAGATAAGTAGAAAATTAAGATATTTTTTATTTAAATTAATTCAAAAACTTCAAAAAATCATATCTTGGTGTATAAAAATAATAAAATAAAATAAAAATACGTGTGTTCAGTGAACAGAGAAGAATAATGTGGATTAAAAATAAAAATTCTGTTCTTTATATTTATTTTAAAATTAATTAAATACACTGAAACTTGTTTAAATAATAATTAATTAATTATTAATTGCCATAACATGAAATTAAGAGGGTTTATTCTACATGTCCTTAAGAGTGTTCTCTGATTTTTCCAAGGTCAGAGGGCACCCCAATGAATAAAAGCCCAGATTTTCTAGGATTAGTGGTTAAATTTTAATTAAATAATTATAAAAAATAAAATAAAAATCTAAAATTAGGTTGGGTATGTTCACAGTGATTAGAGGACTCTAAGAAAAAAAATCAAATTTAAAAGATTAACACTTAATTTCTTACTTTAAAATCATTAAAAAAATTAATGAAAATTAGAAAATTACTTGAAATATCATAAAACTATCCAAAGATGAAGAAAATAATGCTGTAAAGATCCCATAAAAATTTGGAAGCAAGAAAAAATATTTTTAATGTAAAATTGTATTTCTTTTTAAAAATAAGAATTTTAGCTTAAAATAATTATATAAAATAAAATAAAATCATAAAATTATAAAAATCTGGTTGGAATGTTCCTTAAGACCAGAGGAATCTAAGAAAAATAAAAATGAAGTAAAAATAAAAAATTGATTTTAAAGCCTTTTTTATTTAAAAATAATTAATGAATATTAAAAAAATTACAAAAATACAAAAAACCTCAAAATGTCATAAATTCTTTTCTTATAACAGAAAACCACTTTAAAATAATTTCATAAATTTTTAATATTTAAATAAAATTTTCCACATTTTTTAATAAAATAATTATAAAAAAATGAAATAAATATAAAAAAAATGTAAAATAAATTTCTCTAAGATCCTTGAGGTCATAGAAACTTATGAAAAATATAAAAGTTAATTTTTTTAAAAAAAAATAAATATTTAATCAATAAAATCATCTAGATATCATAAAAATTAAAATATAATTCCAAAATTCACAAAAGTTATTCTCAAGGGTCCTCTGAACTATGTGAACCTCTCAAATTTTTCTTAAGAACAGAGAAAGTATTTTGAATAACTAAATGAATTATCATTGAAATTATCTATTTTGACTTTGAAATAAATATTAAAAATTAAATAAAATTCAGAAAAACACAAATTCTCCTCTGATGTGAGGGTTTAACCCATGAGCAAGGCAACAGTCAAATCTCAATTCACTTGGGATTAAATTTATGAAATTATGAAGTAAAGAATCCTAAGGGTAAAATGAAATATGTGTTTAAGTAATAGTTGTTTAAGTAATAGTTGTGATCATTAATACCTTTGAGGCTATTGAAATCTAAATGTAAAGAGGGTAGAGACCAATTCACACCATTTGCTACAAAAGGGTAAAATTCCAATTTCCTGAATTGTTATAGGATGGGAGTTGATTAAATTGAATGATTCTAACGTAAGCAGCTTATGAAAGGAAGACATTAACTCACTGATTGAAAGCCTCTAATCCATAATTAAGTGACAATTTGACATTCGATTAAGGATTAAACACATTGCTACTTAATATTTTCAAATTTCCAAATTTATCCTTAAAGGATTTAAGAGCTTGGTAGTGAACTAAGTTTGGTTTGATCCAATATGACTTAATGAGAAAGTGAATGCAATCAATTATAAACATCTTTAAAACATTATTAAGTTCAAACATGATCTAAAGAGTAAGAGATTCCTTAATCACTATGTTTATCCCTAAGTGAAATCTAACAATCCTTAGCATTTTAGTATTTATCCGCTTATAATAAAAAAAAATTATTAGGATGTTGTTTAATAATATTGTACCGATGCTATGTGCATTATGAAACAACAAAATTACTATTATGAACTGTTTTGTACGTGTTGCCAATAATTATAAACCACAAAGATGAGGATAAATATTATAACTCTAAAATGCATATTCAGCTAAAAATTCAAATCAGAGAACAGAGATTAATAAAAGCAAAGATCATGCTTGACAATTGCAAAGCTTACATTCTACAAAGCCACAAGCACATTTGTTTAGTTTGAAGGAATTTAATGAGCTAAAATTAAGAGAATGATAAAGGATTCGAATAGAAATTACTTATCATTCACTTGTTTGATGGATAAGCAATTAAATGAAAAATATATACTTACTATCAAGTTTAGCTGATGGAGAATAAAGTTTATGTAATTTGGAGAGGTCCAGACATGCGGTACAAAGATGATCAAATAAAATTTTTTTCCTATTTTACAAGGGTTGGATAAGAAATTATCAAATGAATTTCTATATATTTTCTAAGTAAAGTCAATCACATATTAATCATATAATGAAACCAAGCGCCCGATATAAAATGATGATTTAAACTAATTTTCATTTTCATTTTTTCAAACCGCTTCAGAACAAACAGACCCTACAGCTCAATGTACTTAGAAATCACTGAAAACAGAGCCATGCAAGCAGAACACGATTAACAACAATCAACCTGCTAGAATATTTCATATTTCAAAAATAAAAATTAAATAAATAAATAGAATTTCCATCATGAATTGTTTGTTAAACAAGAGCAAAGTTCATAGCAGCAATTCGACTGAACTATTTTCATAAGTCAAAACCAAGCCAAATATAAGATTCTTAGAGATCTCATTTGAGTTGATAGAGAACTGACCATTTCACCCAGGAAATCCTCCTATTAGATCTTGCTGGGCAACTCTACGAATCTCCTGAATGTCTCACAGCTACAACAATATAAATTTATTAAAATAGTCTTTAATTTCAGTTGAGCTTAAGATTGATCACAGTAGGAACAGAGATTCATACCCGAATAGAGACTTAGAAGGACGCATTGCTGTTTGCATATTTTGCTTGCATCTCCATCACTAATATTTCAATAGCATCTAAAAAAGATGTAAGTTCATGGCGTGTATGGATGTCCAAAGAGTTTGCTTGCTCCTGATTCAAGTAGTCAAACAAAGCATCAAATCATGAGAATTACAAATTTATTCAAACAAAAGAAGATTCTGTCCAGTAAGCAGACTGATCTAATTTGCATGAAGCTTCAGATTCACATAACTAAAATGAACTCAGAGCATAATTAAGTTTGAATCTTTTGATAAGTGGTCATTGTGACATTGGTAAGAGAGAGAGAACAAGTTAAAACCAATGGCATTGATAGTCTCATAAGATGAGAGATACAGACAAATGAAGAAAAACATAAAAAGGTTAATAAGTTATGCCTTGCAGAAATACAGGAAACAATTATTCATACAGAGACAAAATGGAATCAAGAATAACACAAATTAGGGCATAAGAAGTGAAAGCCTTTTAAATAAGAAAAGCAAACTTTATTATTAGCTGTTAGGCAAAGAGTAATAAACCACTAAATTCATTTTATAATCAGTATCTTCACATGGTACTGTTTTGCAGCCATTTAAAGTTTTTTTTTTTTTTTTTTTTTTTTGAGTATACATTTTTTTACATGTTTTATAAAGATAATGACAATAATAATTTACATGTTTACAAAGATTATGACAATACTAAGAACGATGATATTTTGAACATTTCCTCGAATGAAGCACAGGATAATTTCAATTTAGGGACATTTATGTACATACCACACAATTCTTATATATTTACGTATCTAACACTAACTTTCATATTTACTTACATAGCAATCAAATTTTTGACATCACATAAAAAAATCACTATTAATAACTTTTTAAAAAGTAAAAAACACCTTTCATGTGTAGTTTTTTAACACCAGTGTCATAAATATAAATATCAAACTTCAGGTATTAAACATGCATCAACAGAAGAATTTTTGGGTATGCATGAAAATTTCGCTTCATTTTATTATCCAGAGGTTCTAAGTATTATCTGTACTATAAAGATATAGAATATTCATTCCAGCATAATAGTACGGTAAAGCTCGGAACTACCTGGATCTCGCATAGTAAACTCCAAGGAAAGCTTCTGGAATGGCTGTCAGAATGTTTTAGAGACCAAAGTACTAGAGGATTACTTAACAGCGGCCACCCTTGACATAATTTTACAGAAGCTACAAGGCCACCTTCTAAATGACTTGTAATTGTCTCATCTGTGTCAGAGTATACAATGAAACGTCTACAAAAAAAAGAAAAAATATAGTATTAAAAATGAAAATATATATATATATATGTTCATACAATCAAAATAGAAGATGATAGAAGGCAATAAAATTTTTATGAGAAAATATAATTTAATGGAGAGTTGTCGACTACAAGATGGACATTTCTAAACTAGGTCCAATTTCTTATACAGTTTGCTGCTCCGTTAGCTGGTCAATCAAGAGTGATCTCAAACAATTCTATTACATGGGAGCTGCTTAGAATCACATTTTGTTTTTATTTTTAAAAACAAGATTAGTTTGCGTTTTAGAACTGTTTTTGCTGTTTCATTTCTGAGAATATATCAAAAATTTTTAAAATATATTCAAAACAACCTTGAGGTGCTTCCATTTATTAAATGAAAAACAACCTGATCAGCACCTGTCATCCCAACCACCAGTCCCCACGACCATCGGCAATATATGCAAAACATATTCGATAGATTAAATATGTTTTTTATAGTAAATGGTACATAATTCGATTTTTTAAAAAATTTGGAAGAAGGTAGTGGCATTATGGCCAAAGGTGTTGGTAGATCCGAAAAAAACACTATCTGCTTCCACAAGAAGTTGGCCGATACAGGGTGTGGAGTTGGCTAGAATATGTGTGCGGGTTTGGGTTGACAGAGGGCAGAAGGCTAGCTGGCTTGGTGCACAAGGTTCAGCGGTTGGAAGTTCATGTGTTTAAAAGAACAAAAAATCCAAAAGATTATTTTGGGTAATTTTTAAAATAATTCAATTAAAAAACAAAAAAAACTAAAGCCTTGACGTCATTAAATTTTTGTTTTAAGAAAAAATTTTCATTGTATTTTATTACTATTTTTGCTTTTTTGAAAATAAATCATATTATTTTTACAAACAATCAAAATAACTTTTAAATGTTTTAAATATTTAAAAAACCATCAAAGTTGATAGTCATCACCGCCCCCCGCTCCGCACGCAACTACCACCATAGCATAAATTAACTTATTCGACATTCAATAAAGATAAAATTAAAAATAATTTATTTTAAGATACAAAAAATATTTGATTTCATGTAAAAATAGCAAAACAAAATAAAAAATAAAACATAAAAGCAAAAAATAAAAAGTGGTTCCAAGTCACCCCTTGTGCAAATTTATTGCAATTAAATTTAAAAATAAAAAGTGATGTTAAATAGACGCTTAGCTGATCACAAATGACAATTAATTTTGAATTTTGGGTTATTGTGGAATGTTGTAGAGGTGGGAACAAGATCATAATTAATTATCAAAATAGATAGACATAACAGAGAATTTTTTCAGTGGTAAGAAACATATGGCCACAGTTCTGACCTGGGTTTGTTTGCATTTTTAACTAATAAACGCCTTAGATTACAGAGGCCAATGCGCTGCTGAATTTGCCTGACTAACCAACCCAAGGTATTCTCCATCGCATTATTTGGCAAAAACCTGAAATTAAAAATGAATAGGAATATGCTTTAGCCTACTAAGGCAACAAAGAAATTACCAATGAAAACAAAATTTTCATATTTATGGCACCATGCAGCATTCGTAGAATATAATGATATAGAGAATGGATATTATAAGTAAAAGCATTGGCATTAGAAAGATATTGAAAATAAAGTTCTAATGTTTTCACGTGGCTACTTTAAAAAGCGTAGGTTGTTTCAAGGGGAAAATTGCCAGCAAGGTGATTATTCAAGCGTAGCTACCAGACTCTCTATCATCAAAGATTCATAAATCACAAACAATTTTATTTTCAAATTATGAGAGGTACAATTTAAATTTTTTTCCAATACATGCAACAGTATATCATCATCATTGTCATCCGCCTTTAAGAAACTTACATGGCTGTTTTATCATCACTAAATCCTTCAAATAGATTTTTTTTTTTTCTTAAGTGGTAGGGAAGAGGAAAGATTGTTGTTGTGCTTGAATCATTGAAGAACTAAAGACTCTTCTTCAAATAAAGGCCAGCTTGAGTCCTGATATCGAAGCTGTGACAAAATCACCATACATCATCACTTAAGTATGCTTTTCAAATTTAAATAGATTTTGAGTAAATATTTTAATTTTTGGTGACCATAAGGGTTTCAACATATTCATCAAGTGTTTTATTTCTTCAAAATAATCAAATTCACTTGTTTCCCTGAATGCATCTAAGGGTAGAAATATTATATTAAATAAGGATACAATAACAACAAGCCTTTATCTCAATGTAGGGTCGGCTACATAAATACATAAATACATACATATATAGATGTGTTTTAGTATATAACATTATTATGTAATGATCGCGCTAACAAGGCTCGCGAGCAAGCAAACCGAGCGGGATGTGTAAGCGGGAAAGGGTTATGACATGCCGAATAGACCATGTATACAAGTCGAACAACTCGAGTGGAGCATCTGCTTGTGCACCAACAACCGTGCATAACCAGCGACGGGCTTGACAGCATGAATCAAGCCAAAAATTGATTAGGTATGATTTTCAACGTCAAAAAAATATCTAACAAATCTGAGAAGTAAAAATCAAATTGAATTTCTTTTGCAGACTATAAACCCTAGATTATAATCCCAACCTACTTAATGCAGAAAGTCTCAAGTTTCTCAATGAAGAAATTTGATCAGAATTTGGAAAGCCCAAAATTTAAATGAAGTCCGAATGCAAATTTTAGTTTAGATTCTCTTAATAATGATACTATGTCAAATTTTTCTTTTTCACATCAAAAAAGGAAACCTTAGTTGTAAATTTAAGTTTAAATGTAAAATTTCAATTAGAGTTTATTCTCATAAGCTATTTGAATAAAGTTCTCCTGATACTTGAGAGATATTATAAGTTTATTAATGATTAGAGAAGAAAGTACATGCATTTTTCAAATTAATTAGACATTGCTTTGTATTTTCTATAGAAAATTTATGCTGTCATCTTTGAGAAGGATTGGCAACTCTTCAATGTACATTTTAACATATAAGCCTGATCATTATATTGCATCAACTGACCTGATCATTATATTGCATCAACTGACCTGAGATATTCATTTGAAGAGGAAACTATTGAGTGCGCTTAAGTTTGTGTACAACACATTAGTGTTTACACAATCAAGAGATACAAAGATGTCACTGTAACACATACCATTTACGTTAACTATAAACGAGCAGCCCATAGATGGAGAGGTAATTAGTCATAATCAACACAAACTGGCCGTTGCATGTAATAAGAACTGAGAAGGATTATACAAAAATGCGCAGTCTTGAGCAAAAAATGCCATAAACATCACATGCTAATCCATATCAATTTTACTGGCTTTAATCAAGGGAAAAAATTAAATTATGGAATACTTGATCGTGCAGGAAAATTTTCTATCATTTAAATATTCTAACTGATGAACAGTTTTAACTATTTCTTAAAACATGATACCTTGAGGACTTCACAGCATTAATAATTCCATCAAGATGTACATCATCAGGGACTATCTGGGAAAAAAAATCATCAACAGAAATTGTCAATGGAATTCTACTTTAAAAAGATATCAAATAGCATAATCTTTTCCGACGAAAAAAACATCAATGGTAATTGGAATCAAGCCACCATATATGTATGAAAAACATAAACCTAAGAAGCAACAAAGATCTGAGTTCATTAGCATTCTAGAACCATCAAAACTCGCCAAGGGTGGGTACTTTCCCTTAACAGGTGTACGAGCTATAAGTGAGATCAAGCACATTTACCAACATGGGCAAGAGAAAAAGAGGAGAGAGGGACGAGATGCATGAAATCGTGGGTTTAGAATCCTAGAAGATTTCGAGGATGGAATTAAGGAAATTGAAACTTAATCACGTGCAGAAGAAAACGCCGGTTCCTGCTATACATGAGTTAAGTGTAAAAAAGTTTGTGAGGATATCGATAGCAACTCAGCAGCGTTGATTCAAAAAAAATTCCACACCTATTTTTTATTTGAATATAAAAGATCTTGCATAATACCAAATGAATGTAGAATCGATTGCAAAGTTTATACAATCAATTTAGCATATATTAGTGGCATTAGTTGAGCCTTAAATTTTAGGAAAAAAAAGTTAATTCTAGGATTGAAATTCTAAATAGGTCCATTGAATCTTGATTGAGTAAAGTGACCTTCAACAAAGCTAGTTTAAATACTATCTTCATAATTAAGAGACTTAAATTACATCAATTAAACAGTAAGTTCATAATTTAACCAAAATTTATTAAATTAGGGGTGTGATTTGCTTAATGTTGTAAATGATCTGCCAAGTCAGATTGACAACAATTTGGAGAAAAATAATGTAGACAAGATACAAGTGCAAACATTACAAGAAAAAATCGAGGCACATAATTTTTTGTATTTAGTGCAATATAATATGAATTCAATTTAAGCATTTAAATAATTTCATAAAATTGTTAACTAAGTTCCAATGCACAATTCATGGGGATCTAGTAATTACCCTGCTTTGAACTTTAAGTTTTGAATTTTAATTCTAGCTAAAAAATATTATATGAACCAAACAAGTATTTCTATCACATTCATCAAGCAAGCTCTTCATTTGTCAAATTCAAATCCATAGAAATTCATTAACCAATTGTGAAAACATAATGTATCAAACCCAAAGGTTTTATTAGTATAGCAAAGAAAATGACAAGCGAGTGTCAATGGCTCTAACTCTAAGAGACAAAAACAAGTTTTCATTGGTAATCATGGCTTGTGCCTTGTCCATTATTTTTGAACTTGGTCAACCCTCGAGTTGATCTCTTCTATGTTTATAAAACTAATTGTACGGATAACCCCCCGTGATTTCTAAAATCTCTTTGGGAAGTTTTGACTTGGCAGAAAGTGGAAGAACTCCTTTATCCCTAATTGTTCTGCTCCTGCAACATTATCTTCAAGTTGTTGATCCAATAATTGTTGCCAATACATTTCCAATTAAAAACAATCAATTTATCACTTTTAAAAGGATTCGATTTCAAGAGAATCCAAATCGCCTTCTTCACTCTGATAGCTATGGAGATAAATAACAAAATTAAAAAATTCACTTGAAAAGCCTTCATTTTCAGCACCTTTGCCAGCGGTTTCTTTGAATCCATATTTTATTAAAGTAACTATCCTTAGACACAAAACTTCATGGGCAAAAAATTCCTGGAATATCATCAAAGTAATGTAGCTTATGTTGATTTCTCTTCTCAAAGATCCGTTCTAACCTATAAAGATTGACTCAAGGATTTCCACATATAAAATTATCAAATATTATACCAAAAGTAAAATCATGATACACCTACTGCAGTAACCTTGAAATAAAAAAGAAAATTCTAAAACATAATTTATAAATCAACTTCAATCTTTGGGAAGAAATGTTTTTTTTTGTTCTATTTTGGTTGTCAATCTTCATTATTGTTGTTTATAGAATTTGGAAAGTGGTAAACTGGCGCCTACAGCGTTTTCCGCCTCGTGTTCCACTGAGTCAAGTGGTCCCATTGAACCCATGCAGAGCCCGCCAAATAATTTGAAGACATATTTTAAGCACAAATATAAGAGAAATTTTGTCATTTCTTAGTTATTATTGTTTGGTATAAATAAGGCTTAATTGGAATAGGGTTGGTGTATGTGATTGTAATCTTGAACTTATGATTAGGATTGTGTCGGTGGAGTAAGATATTTTATTTTGCCCTAATCTCCGTAGAAATTTGTCTCGTTCGCATAAATTAGTATCAGAGATGTATCTATGAGTAATGGCGGTGAATGGTCCCATTGAACCACTTCGAGCCCGCCAAATAATTTGAAAACATTTTTGGCACAAGACTAAAAGGGCAATTTAGTCAATTGTTAATTATTATTGTGTGGTATGAATAAGGCCTAATAGGATTAGGGCTGGGGTACGTGATTGTTGTCTTGAATCTTAAGATACCTTTTAAATTGTAGGACTATTGTTTATGTATTAAGGATTGTGTTGTTTTGTATCAGTAGAGTAAGATATTTTATTTTACCCTAATCTCTGTGGAAATTTGTCTCATTCATATCAAATTGGTATCAGAGTTCTATTTGAGAGTAATGGCGGTCAAGAAAGACGATGTTTGGAGTAGATACTAGAGAGGAAGGTGACCTAAATTAAATCGGGAATGGAGGAGTGTTTCTCATCTATGGAGATGCAGTTTTTCATCCATAAAGAGGCGATTCATGGTCTTGTAAGAAATGATGAAGAAGGTCGTTGAGTTCCACGCAAATCCACCGTCGCGTGTCACGAGATCAAGCGAAAGCGCTTGAAGCAGACTCGAGCGGCGACAATTGGAAGGAATCGCACGACATCAAGGTTACGCATGGGGCAACGTCGCTACCTGAGGTGGATTTGGGGTTGCAGGATCGAGCGAAGAAGTCGGGAGCGGACCCGATGGAAGCACCTGAAAAAGGAAAATGAGATATGCAGAGGAATAAAAATGAGTGGAAGAAGACGGAAAGGAATGGTGGGGTACGATTTGGACCTGGCGACAACCAATTTGAAGGAATTTGGTTAGGAGGGATCGCCCCGCATTAGGAGGGCTGGAGCCAACGATAATAAGCTGAACGGTATGATAGCAAGTGATTCGGGGATGGAAAGGATCAATTAGAACGATTTCGGTCCAAAGTAAAGAACCATAGTGGGCGGTGAAACAGTTCAAACTCACCCATTGAGATATTGTCTACTTTCGCCTAATGACCTCACGTTTTTGCCCAGTCGGTGTAACTTCCAAGGAGATCACCCATCTTAAGAGTACTCTCATGCAAGCAAGATTAACTTTGTAGTTTCTAACGAAAAACTAACCGTTACAGCAAAAGACACCTTGATGTTTAAGGGATCAGATTTATTCTATTTAAGAGGTTTTACAATCTCCCTCACTTGGGAACCTAACATCCTCGCCAATTTTCTTCACCTAGAATCATCCACTAGGCAGATAGGATTCTACAAGTGCCCCCTACAGATTCAAGAGTTGTCTCCCACCATGTAGTGCTTTCTCCCATCTAGAGTTCAAGAGGTGGCTCCCATGGCATTGCACTTTTTTTGTATGGCACTTAGCTCTCATCTTCAGGTTGGTGTACTTTTGTGATACCATTTAACAGCCTAAACTCTCACCCATCGAGATATTATCTGCTTTGGCTTAATGGTCTCACGATTTTGCCACATTAGTGTCAATCACCCTAGAAGCTCTCCCATCCGATCATGCTTAACTTTAGAGTTTCCGACGAAACTTCAACTGTTACACTAAAAGGCACATCGATGTTTAAGTGTTATGGTTCATTCTACTTAACGGGTTTCACAATTAGGACCTCAAATGAGACTTGCATCCAACTGTGTAAATGCTTTTTGTTGCAGCAACCGCGACAGCCCTCCTGGTGAAATGCAATTCAGGAGCTTATGGAACAAATGAGCTGATTATGAGACAAGACAGACTTGTGGAAGAAAAAAAATCAATATGGATCCAGGAAAGGAACCCAACCACCACTTCATGGGCAAAACGAGCTTCGATCAAGAAAACTAGAGAGAAGACTCACACATAAGAATGTTGAAGATGTCGAACTTTGAAGATGATGCCAATGGTTGGGTTTATCGTGTGGAGGCATATTTTGTTATTAATGGGCTGACGAATGAAGAAAAACTAATGGCATCGGCTTTGTGTTTGGAAAGGAAGGCTTTGGCATGATATCAATATAGAGAATAATGCCAACCGAACAGAATATGGGAATAATTCAAAGACCGATTGTTGAAACGTTTCATAACCACACTGGAAAGGATTTACACGATCAGTTTTTGCATTGGTCTAGAAAAGGTTGGCATGAGTTATAAGAAGAAATTTGATATACTATCTGACGTTGAGAGAGACATTAGAAGTAGTATTGAAAGGTAACTTCAGAAAGGGATTGAAGTCAGAGATTGGAGCAACACCTTGTCTATTCAGACCACGAGAATTAGCGGGATTGATGAAATTAGCACAATTGATTGAAGATAAAAAATGCCAAACGGATTAATAGGAGCAGCACAGATGGAGTGTCATTTCGAAATGTTATAACCATGTGGGTACCAAATACTCAAACATTGGGTTTCCAGAGAGATGCTCTATAAGACAGGAATAATAGGTCGCGACCGGAAGCGACCTTCAAACACCTTATAGAAATAGAGATTCAAGAGATTGAGCCAAGGCACTATGTTTTCAGTGTAATGAGAAGTTTTCCCCAGGGCACAGTTGCAAGGATCAAACTTCGCAAATTCTCATGGTATGTGATGAGGAGGCAGAAGATAAAAAAATAGAAAAGGTTGTGGTAGAGAAGTAATACCCACACTTGGATGTGGGAAAATTCTCATTGAACTTGATGGTAGGGTTCATAACGAACCATACTATGAAACTTCGAGGGCAGATCAGGGAGCAGGACGTAGTGGCGTGCAGATAGTGGGCCACCCACAACTTCATCTCCACTCAAAAAGTGGAGAAATTG